GAAGATGAACTAAAGAAAAAATCTAAAGAAAAATTTAAACGTCGAAGAAAAAGTAACCCCAATGTCTCAGCTTACGAGGAACCTCCCATTAAAGTCTGGGAAGATTTCGAAGCCATGCTCGATGAAGATGGTACACACATTCCCATAGTTATCGTGGCAAAAACATCCCTCGATGACGAAGTTTTTTAATTTTACGGCGAATAGTGTACGAGAGATTTCTTAAATTTCATGAACGAGTTAGCCTACGGACTCGAAGAAGAGAACCGGCATTGGGATGATTTCAGAGAAGTCATTGGTATCTTTCATAATCTGAAAGGATACGATGGCGTCTTTCTTCAAGAACAGATGGTGAAAGAAAAACGACGCTTTGAATTCATCATCCCTAACGGAACCAAAGATCTGTGCATGCAAGTGGGAAAGACCGTCTATAAAGACAGCATGTGTTTCCTCCCCATGGCGTTATCAGCCTTTTCGAGTACTTTTGGTATTTCCAAACTTAAAAAAGGATTTTTCCCTCACAAATTTCCTACATCGGAACATCAGAGTTACGTAGGCCCGCTTCCTGCAGCCGAATTCTACGATCCCGATGGTATGAGTGAAAAGAAAAAACAAGAGTTTGAAGCCTGGTACGAACAAGAGAAAAGAAAAAATCGTCCGTTTCACCTCAAGAAAAAACTGAGTTTCATCAGTAAGTTCTGCATTCCTACAAGGAAAGGAGAAATGTCCAACTCACATTTATGTCCATATAACGAGTGCTTATGTCCACTGAAGGTCTTAATGTTAACATGGCATTAAATATTAACAATTAGATTCTATGCTTCCTTGCGTCTGTTCAGTAATGGATCACAAAAGATGTCATAATGTCTGCAGATGCAGTACCACTGACATCATCTCTGATTTATTATTATTACCATTATTGTATGTAGACCCATGGCAACATGGAATCTACATGTTTTGTATAAAAAGCAATATTCTGTTTATGGTGGCATCATTTATGCAGGGTTCTTGCACTTTTTCAGGAACCCAATAATCCATTTTACAGTTGTGTGCTTGGTTGCCGAGCCTTTGAACGGGAGTGAGGCTGGGGGTGACCTTGTTATGATACAAACCTTGCTACCTTTCAAATGTTAATCACTTTGTTATCATGCTAACTAGATACAGGTCTCTATCACAACAAGGTCACCTTCAGCCTCACTCTGAATCAAAGGCTTGGCATGCAACTAAGTACACAACTGTAAAACGGGCTATTCAGGGACTTTCTAGGACATTTAGGCCATTTTCAAGGAGCTTGGCTCTCAAATTCAAGGACCTTTTGCATCAAATAAGAGCTAATAG